TACAGTGCTTCCAGGCACCATGGATCATCCAAGCCTGCTCAATGAGCAAACCCCAATGGCTCAATCTGTTCAATGACCATGCCTTACTTAAGCCATCGTTTGGTGGGCACCGTTTGCCTCATTACCTGTCCAGGTGCAACATCTTGTATCATTTGAGCCTGTGTGACATGATGGAGGGAAATAACACCACAGGTTCATACAACAAGCCACACTCAGGTAAATAATTAAGCAAACAGTGTGAAGCACATGCTGTAACAATAGGAAGCTGCTATTCTCTTTTTAAACTGAGGTGATTGTGTGAATTGGACCATTATGTTCTTGAACAGGAATCAACTATGTGGCTGGGGAAGGTTATTAAGCTGTAACCTTTTTCTATAATCCCTACCCACAATCTTGGGTTAGATCTAGCCTTCCTATGAATGGAAGGGCTCCTTCTTACAGAAAATTCATGGGTAGCAAGGTGGGGAGGCAACCTCTACCGACTCAGCTTCTTTTTGCAGCCACTTGTGCCCTCGAGAGTCTGACCCAGAAGCCCCCTAGGCTTTGTCAATTAGGCTCGGCCTTGAGAGTCACTACCTGATTGTCATAGAGAAGGAAGAAAATGATACCAAAAGATGCGACAGCACAGAAGCACTGCTACTAGCCATGAAAAAGAAATGTAAGGCCCACTTAGAGAGTTTTTCATATCCCATGAAAAGTCAGTCTCTATAGTAAAATCCAATCCCCATGAAAATGCAGTGTAACACTATTTGCATTTGTGTATTGTAGCTGTTAGAGTATTGGACTGGGGAAGATATACTGTAGCTTCTAGTTGCCCCTTGGCCATGTGGCTCAGTGGGCATGTTTGGGCCAGTCACTGACTCTCGGCCTATCTTGTCTCACAGGGTTGTTGAACATAAAATGGAGAGGAGGACGAGGATTCTGTAAGTTGCCTTGGATTCCTTGTAAGAAAAAAGAAGTGGGGTAGAAATATAAGTACATATGTACCCTGATGAATAGCCAAATCCAAATAAACATTCAAGTCTGATTAATCAGATACCTGAATGTTTGCTTTCTTGGACATCTACAGCAGTTTACAAGTATTTGACATGTATGAAAGCCTGTGAGTATGGTAAAATAGAAAGGTTATTAAAATGCCATCAAAGCCAAAGGAAAGAGGTGAAGAATGCTGTTAAATATATATCCAATGATGTTTGTTTTCACAATTCTGTTATTTTAAAATATGCTGAATTTCCCAAGTAGTCAATTTTTCATTTGCCCAATTACTAGCAATCTTTTCCCCCACTATCAAGAATATCATTTGTTTCTTTATTGTAGTAGATAAAACATTCTTTCATTGTTTCAGCTCACAAGCTGTGCTGATACTACCCACTGTTCTTGCCTCCAGCACTTCACATTATTGGTGTATTATTTCATGCATGCCCTACTCTTTTATCAATTGCTTTTGAAGTAATGTTAATAGACTAGAAAATTGAGACATTTATGAAGTATAGGCAGTGTTTATGAAAAAATCCATAAAATATGACACAGGCAAGACAAGACAAAAGCAGCATTTTAATAGATTATGGCAAAGAGATCCTGTCAGAAGTTGACAACTGGCACCTCCGAGATCACTAATTTTTATGGGATTAATTTTGTGGCATTAAGAAGGAAGTTAAATGTCCTAATTAATCTGTAAATAGCACACACCCAAAATTAAACCTTGTGGCCCCTCATTTGATTTTGGCTTCAATGGCTTGTGCATAATTTCCTTAAACAGATATAGTACAGTACTGAGGGGTGGGGAGAGACAGTATTAAGCACAGAGTTTAACAAAAAAGAAACCCCTTCATCTGAGTCATATTTTAGATTTGCACTGGTTATATAAGCTTATAAAGTACTATATGTAGAATTTCCTTTTAAGGAGGGTGTGCCTGTAGGCTTAACAAAGAGACCAATAGAACATATGACTTACATGAAATTCCCAACATCAAGCAAAGCAATACTCCACAACAAGCATTTCAAATAGAATCATGCCAAGACACCAACTTAGGTTCAGCAGTCATCTGAAGATGGTGAGGCAATGAACCATACGATATATTTCCAGCAGCTTAGACAGAAGCTTGATATATAAAATGCAGCCAATACGAATGCCAAGCATGGTTCTAGAGAAGTACTTACTGGATTTAGTGTCATGTTTTCATCTTTATGTGACAGAACGTCAGCAACCTGTTCAAGTTACAGGATCCTATATTCTTTCACATTTCCACACACTCTTATAAAAGACAACCCTTGAAGTAAAGCAAAGCACAGAAGCCTAACCAAAAGCACTCAAGATTTATTCTGCTAGGGACCAGAGAACATTAGTACTATGACCAGAGTTCTTCGATCAAATTTTTATTCTGAACTAATAACCTGAATTTAAAATTTATTGTAAGATTCCATTCTAGCTTAGATTCAAGACGCTGAATGATAACATGAGTCAGTTTATTCTGTGTTTGTGGAAAAATAAAATAATCTACTTGGGTGTGATTTGTATTATCAACAAGAAAAAAAAAAAAAAAAACAGGGACAGAGATCAATGTATGTATCATCATGGCCCTGAACAGCAGAGGAAAGAAAATTCGTATACTTCATACTGAGGGGTTATAGTGCAATTGAACAGAATTTCCATCAGATATACTATAATAGTAAAATATTTAATGTATTTGGGGAGTTGCCTACAAAAAGCTGAGTTAGAAGCTATAATCGCATATTATCCCACAAACTTTTTAGCATTTTGACCTAGAACATCATTTTAAACCTCTCTATATTCTAAACATATATTTTATACCGGGTTAGTAGTGGATGAATGGAGACAGATATTTCTGAGTTTGCAAAGGGTCTTAAGCCAAAGATGCATATCAGGTGTATCTATTATTATAGTTCCTATTTCTTGTCCCTTGTGCAATGTGTTGTATTACACCTTAGATTATGCTACATAGTATGAGCTTTAGACTGATTCACATACAATTTAAAGAAAGGGTATTTGCTCTCTCATTTTGCTACAAGTATATCAAATTGGATTCAGGTCGCAATCATAGCAAGTGTTGCTTCTGCATCCTGAGGTCAAAAGGGCTTTCTTGTGCTATAACATTTACATTTTTCTTCCATTATCCTAGTGTCATGTCACTGGCAACAATTTTAGGGTGGCACTGACAAGGGTGGAAGGCTTCTCAGTCTCTCCCAGGAGTTTCTGCTATACATTGTTGTAATTTGGACCTCAGATGTTCTGGGTTAGCTGCTCTTCTGAAAATAAAACACTGAAATATATGCCCAGCATTGTAAAGTTATGTTAGTGTTTCAAGCCATTTATTCCAAACACACTTTAAATTATCTGAAAGCACCTTTTAAAAACTAGTACAATGTAAATGGCTATATGCTGCTGGAAGATGTGCAACCGTTCAGGTTGGCAAACAACTAGAATTATATATGTTTTATGATAAAACATCATAGCAGTAAAGCAAAATATTAAAAGATATCTATAAGCAAGAGTGAATTAGCTTGCACACTGAAATGGAAGTTCTAAGAGAGGTTAAATACTACTTGTCTAAGCAGCTAGAGAAATATTTGTTGCATTTGCCTTCCCCCACATCTTTTGCTTTTATTCATGTGACACATTTTCATTTATGCCTCTGTGCAATTTTACTCCTGAACCATGCCTTTTCATTTGGTCTTCTGAACTGCTTCCCAATCCCGGTTTCAATCTTGGCCCTGACGTTAAGATTTCTACATATTCCTGCTCCTTGTTTGAAGTTCTTGATTTTGCATTTGTTCACTTCCCTGTCATCCTCCTCACATCTGTTGTCTTGCATCCACTGCCAAGTGAATGCAACACCGTTCTTTCCATGGCCTGACAATGTTTATTAATTGGCTCATTTACGGGAACTAGTTTCAGTCACTGTTCCATCCCCACTGGCACACCACAACTTCCTGTGTCACTGAATAAAATAATCGTCTTTCCTGCTATTTGAATTACTGGTCTATAATCCAATCACATCTCTAGTACACCTTCCATGATTATATATTTCATCCTTTTTATGTAACACTGAATTAAATATTCAGGATATTCAGCAAAGGTACAACTTCTTATCAGCTTGCTCAATATAAGCCAAGAAGAAATTCCAAAAGTCCATGGGTAAATCTAGGAATGTGTGGTTTTGCCATGATTTTTACATGGCACAAAAAATATATTAATTGAACACCGTAACTTTTTCACAATTCTGCTCATCAATAACTGATGATTTTTTAATTTAATGAGGCGGTATCACAATGGAAAATTTCAAGATATATATAGATATTGAACTGTGCTGAATTCAGAGTCTTCAAAATTGGGTTAGGAAAGATGTAACGTGAACGTAGACATTATAAAGACATGGCTAATGCTGAAAAAATGCAACTGCATGTAGTAATCCTTTACTTCCCCCTAAGTTTAATCTAATTTTACCAAACCACCTGTTCTGTGGAGCAGGCACAGTCTACACATGTTCCACCAGGAATTAAAGGAGGGAACATTTTTACATGATTGTTGTTTCCACGGAGTAGTTCTTTCCCCCTTTGCACAGATATTTCAGCCATTCCACTTATTCCAACCAACACTGAATCCCAATTTAAGTCCTACTGGGGGACTAATTCCTGGCAATGTTTATTACAAATCCTTATTTCTACAAGCACTGTTATATGCAGAAACTGAAACAGATTTCACATCCCAACTTGCTCCATGGTAGGCCATTCTTTTGCTTTACAATTTCTTTATAAACTTGTGTCTTTTATTGTTGAACATTTGTTACCAATATATTTCTTTCATCTTGTTCACTTTAAACTATAAAATTATATATTCTGCTCAAAGAAAAATAAAAACCAATTATTAATTTCTGTAAGATAGATAACTTAATATTTCCATATACAGATTCCAATAAACTTCCAACTGGGATAATTTGTCATAGAATTGATAAACTGGGGAGGAACTAAAGGGTTCATACCTGGATGCACTGACTGTAAGGTCCTATGTTGGCAGGGGCCCAGTGAGAAATGCTCTGTACATGCATAACTTGCTTCTGATTACAAGGCTGATCACTGATCGTTCTATCATGATTATGCACAAGACAGTCCATCTGAAACCAGAGTCCTTCAGGCAAGGGGACTTCTACACATACTCTGAAAACACAATATAAGAAGGTTTTTATCTGTAACATTTTCAACAACAACAAGAGGAGGAGGAGGAGGAGGAGGAATATTGTATATTTAATATAAAAATCTCCAGTGGTTTACATGCACAATTATTTAAAAAAAACATAGACATGACTAAACAACACTAAAAATGTCTAACTTGAATCAAGAAAGGTAAGAGATCATGGAGCAACATCATTGATAATCTATTGTAAGCCAGAGAAAGAATGTGTAAACAAGTATGTTTTCAAGAGGTATTCAAAACACATCACATATCCTGCCTCCTACCCACATAGGGGAAGATGCTGCAACAGATGAGTGCCACTACTGACTGCCTGCCTTCATAACACCTTCCTCTGAAGATCTTAGTAATTGGCTGGGTGTATTGAAGTTTCACATGCTAACTACAGAACTTTGAACAAGGCTCAGTAGCTACAAGGCAGTCTTAACACTTGTCTATGGCTGCACATACTCCTAGCTTTTTCTTCCTGCTTCTCAGAATTGATTCATACAGTCTTGGGAAAGAAGGACTGAGCAAGATGCGCTCCTTAGTCTCCCCCTTTCTCAGTAAGCCCACCTCTTCACAATCACTTTATTCTGGAACCAATATGCTCATCTACCCAGAATGAGAATGCAGGTGAAAGATACTAGTCCTTCTCTTTGTTGTTGCCACTGCGTGCACACTGGAACATGGAAGATGAACAAGCAGCACTGCTAAGCAGCAGCAGCAGCAGCATGTCCAGGAGCCAGGGGCTGGACAGAAGACCATCTGTTGGGGACTGGGACTCAGCAAGTACCTAATAATAATGAGCCCGGATACTGGCCTTGGTTCAGTCACTAAGTTTTTCTCATAACAAGAGTGGGCTTACATGGACCCAGGCTAACAGTGGAGATAGCCCAGCCCATGACTTCATCCCCCTCTCCTCCATTTTGCCTTTCTTTCCATGCCTTCCTTGGTATGGAGAAAAGGATTTGGTTACAAATGGAAAGAATCACTGCTCCCATCTCCTGCTGAATCTTTGGCCTCACACATGCCCATATTCCCACTGTCATATCCAATCTGTGATCAGAGATATCAGTGGGCATTCCCCTGATCACTAATTGTTCTCTCAATTCAAGGATCAGACATAACAATAGGGTTTTCTCAAAGCACAGGGTCTGGAGGCCAGGCCTTAACGCAGCAGGCTTTGTAAGCCAGATGGGGAATGTCTGCAGACCGCACTAGGCCTGTGGGACAGAAGTTCCCCATCCATGCTGCATTTCAAAGAATACCTGATCCTAGGAAACTGTATAATGCACTGGATCCAGTCAGGTCCCTCAATGAACAGAAGGACTCCTTTTCGCAGTCAGAATTGGGATCCATTGCAGGATCCCTGGTGAAGGAAAGGGGTAGAGTGGCCCTGAACTTCTGGAGAATTTATGGAGATAGTGAGGGGTAAATGAAGGTAAAATGTATCTTTCCAACAAACTTTCAGCCAGTTTGTGGAGTTCTACTCCACACAAACCTGAATCCAGCTTGAACAGTTAGAACTTTCAGTTTTAACGTTTCCATTTCTATGGATCTAGATGGCAGCCCAGTAAAGAGTCTTTTTCATAATGAAGCTTAACTATTCTTTTTGAAATTAAGTGAAACTGTGCAATATATATTTTTCAAGATATGGAACTTCTGTTTGGTTTATCAACCTAGGAAGATCCATTACTATTATCATTTCAAATACACTTTTCAGTATTCAGTGTGCTTTATACTGCTTACCCAGTTTCATAGTTAGACAAGGTTTTGCGCAAACCCATCTGCTGAGCTCTTGCTTGAGCTCTTGTGGTTTTTAACTTTGTATACAATGTGCAATGCATCCATTATTGAGTGGCAATATCTATTTCCAGGGGCCTTGGGCAAGGACCCCAGGTGTTGTGACCCAGAACATAGAGTCCACAGATAGTGTAACTCTAAGTAGGCACCAAAACTAGTTCCTCAATACTTCACTCAGTCCACTGTCTCACAATTCTTATCCCATCGATACGACCTTCTAGGAGATGCCATTACCCCTTAACTCAGAGGAATGGGCCTTGAACTTGTTTAATGAGCAGGGATGCCCTCTCGGGCAATCCCAAATGGCTCCTCATTCATCCCAGGGGAAGCTGATGCATACAGCAAAAGGCCACCAACCCTTTAACAGTCAGATGCAGCACTTGAAGGGATGGAGCTTCCAGGAAGCCTTTTCAGGCCCGAACATAAATTCCTGCTCTAGCAACCTTGTTAGTACTCTAATTCCAGGAGTACTTTCCCTGTCCAGAAATAAAATCCAGGTCTGGTCTCCCTGAGATTGGTTGCAGTACAACTGCTCCTGATCATTTTGCCTGTCCCACTCTGCGCTTCCTGGCCTGAACCATCATCTGGAACAGGAGCTGACAGCTCAGGCAGGATACAGCAACACTCAAGTTCCCATTCAATTGGCTAACAACTGTGCAGCACCCCAGCCTGGCTGATCACTCCAGCAGTGCACTACTTCTGTATCCCTCTTGCTCTCTAACACAGAGGATTGAAGCATAATTACATTATTTCTAGGCCTCTTCTCAACTACTTACATATTGGGTTAACACATAGATATTTCTCTCTCTCTGTCTCTCTCTCTCTCTCTCTCTCTCTCTCTCTATATATATATATATATATATATATATGAAATTATAGGGCATGACATTAATAAGGAACATTGGATATTTATCTCAACAAAGTCTCCAATGCAATGAGTTTCACAGAGATCCAATTACTAGTAAAGCTATTACTAAGTAAGGGGAAATATATCTTATTAACTGGAATAAGTAATAAAGCCCTCAACAGGGAAAAAACCCAAAGAACTTGCTTCTTATAAAAGATTTTCTGCAGCATTAAAAATATTTTAATTGTAGAGTCCTTATTTCATTAACTTTATATATTAACATTTTTATTAAGAAGCTAGAATTGAAATACATGTGTAGAAGGTTCCAAATTAAGAGGAATGAGAAAGAAAACATGCTTCTGCTGAATTCACTGCTAAACCTCAATATGGCTATTCAATTGGAAGCTAAAACAGCAATGATGGAAGCAGCACCACAGGTGTGACTAGATAAAAGAGTGAAATACTGTGCATGGCTGCTGTAGTACAGCAGAGATGGAAAAGGACTGGGAAAATATCTGCCTACTGCTATGATATAAATGACTGCATGGGAGGACAGGTGAACAGTGGAGCTTTATGTATTCCCATCTCCTGCATAGCAGCCCCTTTGTGCCATGCTGCCATCAGTTTTAAAAGCACTCCTGGATCACAGAGACAGGTTGCAGCACTGTGGAAACTCATGCTCAGGTGGAGAAAGGATGACGTCTCTTGGATACACACCACTTCACTAAGAGAACCTGTTCCATCAAATATGGCTTCCCATTCTATTTTATCTATTTGGTAACTGTTTGACAATTATGCTTCTGCGTGGGGTACATGAGGAGGGCCTGAGCTCATCATGAGGCAAAAGAGCATTCAGGGACACACTTGCTTCTTTTAGGACAGTGAGTATACATTTGGAACATATAAGGTCCTTATTTAAGAAGTGAACATTCACATGCCACTCATAAAACTAAGAGAGTAAAAGATCGTGCCTTTGAAGAGAGACATACAAATGGGTGAAAGGCAACTGAGAGAAGCTCAGTCTGAGGAAAAAGCATAAATATAGCAGTTGCAACAACGAAGAATGTTCCAGCATATCATAAATGTAAGACAGCAGTGGGACAAGCCTACCTTGCTGGGGGACACAAATCAAATACTGTCATATAGACTGAATTTATCACAGCAAAATCCTTCATGCTCTTCACATACAGATGGACCAAAATTATATCTGTCAATTCCAATCCTTCTGAATTCAGATAAGCTGCATGTGGAAAAAATGCAGTTGTTAAAGACAGGAAATGTTAAATGTGTACAGAATGGTAGTTAGAATACGTTTTTATAAAATACTTTCCCAAGAAAAGCAAATGATAACGGCTTAACATTCTCCTAGATTGAATGAGGCCTGCAACAGAGTGGCAACAATTATTTTATTCATGTATAACATTTGCATGCTGCTCCATATTATATCTAGACTCTTTCTGGAGTGAATAATAAAGATAAACCAGAAGCTGTTATATGCTATCAAGTAATCTCCAACTTATAACAACCCTCTGAATGAAAGTCCTCAAGATGTCCTGTCCATGATAGCACCATTCAGCTCTATCAAGTTCAAGGAAGTAGCTTCCTTTGTGCATTCAATCCATCTCATACTTGTTCTTCCCTTTCTTCTTCTGCCTTCGATTTTCCCTAACATGATTGTCTTCTCCAGGGAGTCTTGCTGTTTCAGGATGTATCCAAAGTATGACAGCCTCAGGTTTGTCATTTTTCCTTCTAGAGAAAGCTCTGGCTTAATTTGATCCAGGACCCACTTCTTTGTCCTTCTGTTGGTCCAGACCCTACATATGCACGGATGAAGCTTCATTAAGCTCCACCACATGAAGTGATGGCCTGATTGATGCTGGGCATTGTGGCAGGTTTGAACCAGGAGGCCTTGTTGCTTTTGGTTTCAGCACTGGCTTCAGCTTTTAATGAGCACAATACAGAAAATGATACAGCCATGGCCTTTTATCACTGTTCAACTTCTCAGCTAATTACAGGCAAAAGGAGTAAACTCCAAGAGTCAGTGCACCTTATCTAACTGCTGCTTTTTGCCCTTGAGCTGATTCCTGAAATATTAGCTATAAAATCTTTGTATGGGAACAAAGCATAGGGACAGGTGAATTATTTAGGAATGTATCTCAAGAACAGCCCTGGTTTGATGTACTGTCTGTAGGTCAAAGGACATTTGAAGAGTGTAAACCGTTGCACACATGAGTATGCTTTGCTGGTAGCATCATCTTTCCTGATGTAAAAGTCTTCCTTCTCGTATGAAATGGTTTTCCTTTTGGCTGAACTGCTTCTGCATGTTCTATTCATGCTTCCAGAGAATCTTATAACCAAAAGTCCCCTATCAACTAATGCTATATCTAGACACTGAGACACTGTCTGGCTTCCTACACAGTCACCCTGTTTTGCCTGACCTTGTCTCAGTTCACTAATGACATGCTCTTTCCCCTGGACTTATTAAACATTCTAGGATTTCGTCTGTTGAATCTTGGGATTCTTAAAACCTATTTGAGACCACCAGAAACATAAATTATATTACAGTAGTGAAAGCGACCACAATACCAATAGTATCTGCTAGTGTGACAGGCTCTTCAGGGGAACACATTGCACCAGAAAAAACAACTGGCAAAAAGTGCAATAGAGTTCACTTACACTAGTGCAACATAATTTATATTGCTGGCACTGCTGAATTGGATATTCCCTCTCCTATTTCAAGGGCTCATTTGCAGTTAATAGCTAATGCTTCTTCTTTCTTTCCATGAAGTGTTTAAGTAAAAAGAATACTCAAGGAAGTTTGCTGATGCTGCTTCTGGAAAAAGGGGGTCCTCATTTTGTGCAGACACTGATCCTAAAAGTATTTGCTGTAGTCTTACACAACTGCCATTCCCCATGCACTACACAAATAACCTAGCAGGTGCCAAGGATTACCACATGCCTAATACTGGCATCTGATTTTGCATGAGCCGACATAACTTTTATGTTGGAACATGCAAAACCCTTGTCTCTTTGGAAATGCAAAATAAGAAGGCCTGTGCTACCACATAGTAGAATGCTTTTTCCTCTTAAGGATTTAAATCTTATGGATCGATTTAGCAGTAAAACAGGCTTTTCATCAAGAAATTTTTAAACCAAACATTTCAGGGACCGAAAGTGGTCTCTTTTTCCCTAATGTTACTTTAGGTGGATCCAATGATCCTGTAATCCAGGGCCAAGGAATGTCCAGCCCCAAAACTAATTTAGTCTACAGGATTCTGGAGTTTGACTTCATAATCTTGAAGTCTTTGCTGAAGAGCATGGCATGTCTCTTTTAAAATCCAACCAATTTTATGTTTGATCTGCCCTGTCCTGCCACCTCAACTCCCAATTTTCCCTGTGGTTTTCATCTTTTCTCTGCTGGACCCTGAAAAAGTTTCCCTTTTCCAGCACTCAGTTGGGAAGTGCTGTTACCTACAACCAGGGCCTGGGTAGAAATGGCTGATTGGTTTACTTGTAGTCTAGCTTACTTCAAATGCTTCTCCTGCTTACTTCTGAATAGACATCAGAAGTAAACTTCTGTTCATAATTACAACTTAATAAGATACAAATATTACAACTTAATATGACACAATTCTGTATTTAGGATGCTATTTGAAAGTGGTGCTCAATTATTAATTTCCACTTGTTGACATAAAAAGTACATGTTCCCTACTTCTGACTAGACATAAAATCAAATTTTGAGCCTACTCACTTTGCTTTTGGACACAGAAGGAAGGTAACCCCAAGATCTCTCCCGTCTGGTATCATCTGGATCCCCAGATTCATGGTCTAAGATAGATGTCCAACCTTGGAGCTGGGAATCTGCATTCTAACCTCCCTCTTCTCCTTAGTCAGCACAGAAAGAAAGGCAGGTTGCTTACCTGTAACTGTCATTCTTCGAGTGGTCATCCATGGCATTCACACATCAATGGGGTTTGACACACAGTGTAGGCCTCATCTGGTGGAAACTTCCAGAGCTGGTTGCCATGGAGTGGGCGGGAGCAGGGACCACCCTGCACTCTGAGTGGTAGATGGGCGGTGGCTCCCGCCCATTCCCTCAGTGGCTGAAGACCACACTGTCCCAGGCGTGCGAGGGATCCGAGCATCATGTATGGAGCAGCTATAGCGCCCTGCCCCGGCCCGTATGGGGCAGAAGCTGACAATAGCCAGCGGGGCGGAGGGCGGGTTGTGTGCATGCACGGATGACCACTCGAAGAATGACAGTTACATGTAAGCAACCTGCCTTTCTTCTTCATGGTCTCCACACAAATCACACACCAATGGGGCGATTAGCAAGCCCCTCAGGAGGAGGGAGGCTATCGTCACTGCAGTATAGATGAGAGGACGGCCCTTCCAAAAGTGCAGTCCTGTCTGGCATGGACGTCTAGCTGGTAGTGGCGCACGAAGGCTGATGGTGTGGACCATGTCGCTGCCCTGCAGATTTCCTGAAAGGGAATGCCAGCCAGTAGAGCAGTGGATGTGGCCTGGGCGCACGTGGAATGCACATGTGGCTGTCCAGTCATTGGGATCTTAGCCATCTCATAGACGAAGGTGATGGGAGCTGGAGACCCATTTTGATAGTCTCTGGCTGGAGACAGCCTCCCCAGCTTTGGGGCCCTCAAAGCGCTCTGAGTGGCAGATGGTCTCAGTCCTGGACCTGTAGTAGGCGAGGGCCCTTCTGACATCTAGTAGATGCAGGGTGGCCTCAATGGGGGTGGACGGGTTGGGAAAGAAGGCAGGCAGGATGATATCCTGGTTCAGGTGGAATGAAGATATCACCTTTGGGACAAAGCTTGGGTCTGGACGAAGTCCGACCTTGACCCTGTGGAACATCGTGAAGGGAGCGTCAATCCGAAGGGCTGCTAGCTCCCTGGCACATTGGGCTGCTGTGATGGCCACCAGGAAGGCAATCTTCCAGGACAGGAGGCTAAGGTCCGTTGTGGCCATCGGTTCAAAGGGCCTCTTCGTGAGGGCCTGCAGGACTACAGAGAGGCTCCAAGAGGGGGAGTGGGGCCAGGTTGGTGGGGCAAGGTTGCAGAGGCCCCTGAGGAAGCGGCATGCCAGGGCATGGGCAAATACAGAGGACCCTTGTACAGGGAGGTGAAAGTGGGAGATGGGCACTAGGTGAACCCTAATGGAGGAGGAGCAGAGACCCGCTGCGAAGCGGGATTGCAGGTACTCCAGGATGTGTTCCATGGAGGCTAGGGAGGGGTCAAGGCCCTGTGCTGGAGTGGAAGCCGAGAAGGTTTTCCACTTAGCCTCGTAGAAGCGGCGAGTGGAGGGTTTGAGGGCAGCCAATAGCACGGTGGCGACAGTCTGAGCTAGGGAGCCATAGCGTTCTGTCAGAGGGGTATTTTCCAGGCTGTTAGGTGCAAGGACCTGAGGTCAGGGTGCAGGACCCTGCCCTGGTCCTGGGAGAGGAGGCTGGACTGAAGGGCAGGTGGTAGAAGGTCTTCCCTGACAGGCGAGGGAAGAGAGGGAACCAGGGCTGTCTCAGCCACCGGGGGTAATCAGGATGCAGCTGGTTCCCTCCCTCTGGATTTTGGCCACTACTTTGGTGATCAGGGGAAAAGGGGGAAAGGTGTAGAAGAGGTCCCCCTCCCAACTGTGTAGGAATGCATCCCCCAGGGATGCCCTGCCGTGTCCTGTTCGGGAGCAGAACAGCCTGCACTTCATGTTGTTCGGGGTAGCGAAGAGGTCGATCGTGGGCTGACCCCATTTGGTGCACAGGAAGAGGAAGGTGGCTGCCTCCAGCTACCACTTGTGGCCAGAGGGCCAGACGGGGCCTTCCAGGACTGCTGTGCACAGCAGGGCAGGCATGACTGGGATGGACACTGTGGTGGTGTCCCCAGAGGCAAGTGCATCACAGCATGGGTCTGCCTCAGGCTCAGGGGGCTGGCAGATGGAAGTTTAAGTCCTCGGCCATGCGGAGCACCTTATCAGAGAAATTACTCCCCTTGACAGGTGAAAAGGAGAGATCCTGGTCCCAGGCCTGCCCCTCTGGGGAGTGGATTGGGGTTACAAGGGAGTGGAGGCGTCCTGAGGCAGGGGAGCGGCTCTGACCTGAATCCTGTGATACAGACCGATGATTGTGGGTGCTCCTGTCCGGATGGGCGGCATGTGTGCGTTTGCGGTGCAAAGCAGGGCTGTGGGAGTGGTGGGGCTGGCGGGGGGGGGGCTGGGGTAGACCACATCACTTGCAGAGTCCTCGCTGTGCCAGCGGTGCCCATTGGGCCTTTGCTGCCTGTCTTCATATCTGGAGGCGCTGCTCGACTCGCCACTAGGTGAGATCTGACAAAGGTGAGGAGCTGCAGTGCTGTAATCCGATCCATGAGAACCCTGCTTCCTGCTGGTGGGATCTGAGTGCCACGTGGTCCTGGAGCGCTCCTGCTGGCTGCCTCAGCCTCAGCCTTGTTGATGCCTCCTGGGCGCTGCCAGTGAGGTGGGAGAATATTTGCAACGACACTCTCTGGGAGCGGAGTCGCTAGAGGAAGAGAGGCTCCGTGCACGTTGCGCCCTCGTAAGCCTATTCCTAGAGACCTGAGGCCTGGGCCTAGACCTGACGCGGGAAGTGAGGGCCTCCAATGAAGCCAAGTCAAAATTGGCTAGGCAGGGCCTCCCCGTCGGCAGAGAGCTGAAGATCGTAGAGCTCTGGAGAGCAGGGAGACCTCTAGTGGCTGTGCCGATCCCCCTCGGTTCCCGCGGATGGGGGGAGCGATGATCCTGCTGGCTCTGTTGCAGATTCTCAGGGCCTGCGGGCGCTGCTGGGGACCGGCGTTCCCCCAGGTAGGGAGACGCTCCGTCAGCGGTCTCCGTTGCAGCCATGGTAGCCGTGCCACATGCAGGGGTGGCCAGAGCCACGGGCGAAGGGACTGAACAAACCAGGATCCGTATCCTGGTGACACTGCAGTCTCCTTCTCTCCCCCTTTGAAGTACCTTGACTAGACAGCCAAGAAAAAGTACCATATATGTGTTTACCCTTGCAGATTTCCATTGCAAAGCACAAGGTTTTTTAAAGAACATTAAAGCAATTAGCCCTACAACAAGGCTTTTGTTTCTTCCATCTTCACAACAGGATACAGAACAGGCTGGAAGCATGAATGAGCAGCAAGTATGGTTGTTCCAGGGAAAGGTTCTAACATATGTAATACCTAGCTGAAGGGTCTCAGTAATGTTTTGACAAAGAACTCTGTAGTCGTTCCTCCAGACAACAAGACCAAAATTGAGTCACTGTCCCCACCCCCTGCTCAGAAAGCAAAATAAATATCTACAGGAAATACAAGTATTACCTGAAACAAAAATACCAGTAATGGAAAACAATAGTTTAAATGTAAGTAACCTGCCAAAAAAACAGCAGGTTTCATAGCCTCTGGCTAGAAACAAAACCGCTACTTTTCATTTCATGCTAATGGAAAGAATGGCAAAGACATGAATGCTTGCATTGGCTGGGGCCCATGGAAATATAACAAGAACTAAGTAAATGTTAGAGAGCCCCATTGCTTTATTTTACATATTATGCCCAGAAGATTTATGCAGAACATTGCTGCCTTTACCTACAAGTCTGATGGCATCCTCCTTGCTGATTTCCAGGCTGTTGGGAAGTAGCTTAAGGGTCCTTTGGAAAGCATGCCATCTTTTGCTTTGCAAAATGGCTAGCACTTCCTTATCATTCTGTATTCAGTCATGAACTCAGCTGCACAAGCCAAATGTTAAGATTTTATGAGCCAATACATCAAAAGTATTCGTGAACAAGAATACAAGCTCACCCATTGCAGCCTCAGAGAGCAATTTCCATTTTTATGAATGAAAAAGATGCCTGCATAAACATTTCTTTATTTAAAAGTGTAAAAATGAGGAAATATGCAGAACAAAATGGAAGCATTTTGTTTTATATGCCAATATCTTGTAAGGGTTTGATAGTAAGAAATCCAGCGACCACAATTCCCAAGACAGCAATTCTTTCCTTGCATTAAGTACATAAATGAGATTTAAAGCCACTGACCTAATCCTAGATGCCAAAATGTACCATAGCAACAGCTTTCTGGAGAACTTAATTTAAAATTATGGTGATAAAGACAGTTTAGCTAGCAGAAAGCACACACAACAGAGAGTGCACCCAGTGAAAGATAAAGGTATGAAAGCAAATCCCACTGTTTTTTAAAACTAACAGAATGAGAAATGCTCTAAAATTATTTACATATGTCAATTTTGTAAGCACTTGTTACCAAACATTCAGGGTTAAATATAACACTTTTCACATAATGATTTTCAAGATAGAGGATTCTGAGATAGTTAATCCAACAAACCTTTGCAGTAATTGATTAGACTGTTCAGAAACAGGGCTACCCACATATATTATCAATGCAATTAATTAAATGCACTTTAAATTTGATTAAAATTAGCATAATGCAGGACAGTTGCTTGGCTTCTTGAGTACATCAAGGGAGGGTCTGAGGAGAACAGCAAAGATAAAGATTGCTCCTTCTTATGCCAAAAGGTCTAAGAATATTGAAGGAGACACCTAAGTTACCTCAGAAGACATGTCAGAACGAGAAGGGGCTGGCTCCTTGTAGGAACCAAAATTCTTTCAGCTAGAGATGGGCAGATGTCTGCTGCTAAAGAATATTACAAGCAGAAGGTCCTGGCCCTCAAAACCAGCTGTTTTAACCCCAGAGACCTGGTCCAGACAAGGTACCTCACTTTAGATCAAGAGAACATAGGAACAAAGATAATGCACCTCTTATTGAATAAGCACGAGGATAAAATAGAGATGCAGATGATCAATAAACAAGAAATGGCAGATTTTATCAATGTCCCTTTAATCAGGCTGATTGTTCCTGGAACACTAGTTGTTTGGACACCATGGTCAAAAGACCCTTTGCTGTGGGTTTTATACAGTCAGTCTTTCCCTCTGCTTCATAGGCTGTCAAGTGTACAAAAGCTAGTCCCATTCCTGGGAGGCAAGGAGGTATGTGAGAATGCCTAGGTATCCCCACTAACTTCAGCAAAAGGGTGCATAACCATTCTTCTCTCAGGGACGAGGCAAAAATTCTCACCAAATAGCAGTGATCTCATACCTTCAAGTGAGGCCCTGCAAGTTTCTACAGCAATCAATCCTAAGAAGTGGCAGCATTGAGGCATGTGTTGGATACTGGGAACAAATCACACTTAACTCCTAATCCCAGTGTGTTCTGGTTATCAATCCCAATTCCCAAGCCAGATGGCTTACTCTCTTGAGAGCCCCTAGTCTCCATGGCTGCTGCATAGGGAGCCTGCAAAGGGCAAGTAACCAGTGCTTTTAAAATGCATTCAGAACTTTTAATTGAATGCATCACACTGATTACTGATTATAACAGCAGCCCTAATTATACCTGTAGGATATGCTATATAACGTTTTTCAATACCCGGAAACTCACATTGAAGTGACAAAAAGACATCTTTAGCAGATTCTTGCACACTTCTGTTTTCTGATGGATGAAAATGAGCACTGATGTCTGCAATCCACTGGTAACCTTTTAGAGACTTCCCTGAGTGTTCAAATGTCTTATCTGTAAAAATAAAACCAAAAATAAACATGAGCCAATAGGGTAAAAAAGTTATTATAAAGTTTTATCTATCAAAACCCAAAACTTGCTATTTTAGATTAAACAAAGCTACTGGACCAACTTTTTGAAAGAACAAAACTTTAAAAAGAGAATTTCATAATATTATACAATAATGTATGAAACAATTAGCAACCATAATATGTTACTCAGAAGTCCATTTGCTACAAAATAAATCAGTTAAAATCAAAGTAAATATGACTTAGGATTAGGCTATGACTGTACAAAGATTCCCATCTACATAATACATTATTTTATTCATTTCAGCCTGAAAGGACTTTATTCATTCTGCAACTTTTATTCCTGCAACAACTGCCCCCTTCTCCATTTTGGACTCACAAATCCTCTAGAAATCATACAGATAGTGGCCAGACCCAATGCTTCCTTTTGCCATTGGATACATCCCCAAATGGAGATCACTCCCACTGGCAGCAAAAGAAGAAAGACATTTTTGCTGTTCTCCCTCTCCCCAGCTGCGTCAGAGGATCCCCTGAAATGCTGAAGCAGATTTTCAGGAGACGCAGGGACTGCAAGGAGGATGGAAAGCCAGAGACGATTGCCTCCCTGCTTGTTCAGCCAGAGGAGAAGCTTGGCTGGATCCAAAGCCTCCCACAGATGGGAGTCCTTCCACTCACAGGAAGTTTTTGTTGGATCTAACCCAACATTATTTTAGAATTTTGCCACTTCTTGAAACATGCTGTTATTCTGTTTGTGTTGTATACTTCCTGTTCCGCCCACCCCAAATTAAGTAAGTGACAAGCACAGTCTTAGCTAATGATGGATACAGCTAACAAACTGCTTTTACACAGCAAACAAATGCTCCAGTTATGACCTTGGATTTAGTTGTTACCTAGCATAAATGGAAACCACTTCCTTTTGTACAAGGGGCTCCCTGATTACCCTCTCAATCTGCCGTCACATCACAGTGCCACACAACAGACATCCCCAAGGGTGCCCTTTACCTTAGGAACACCTTTTCATAGGGACAGAGAAGGAAGCAAAGGGAAAATAGCAGCAGGAAAGCCCAAGTGCCTGAAGTAATCCTGACTGCCGTGTACAAACTTCCATGCCTGCACATCACTGCAAACCATAATTTATGCTATATCAGCAGCACTGATACTTAGGGCACTGAATTTAAATTATTAGTTTAAGCTAACAGTTCAAAATAACAAAAGTATTTTGGTATCAGTGGCTCTGAGTCCAAGTGCACTAGCTAGAGAATCAGCTGTGATATAAACAACAAGAAGAGCGTTCCACGGGTCTAGGAAGCCCACCTTGGACTTTAAGCAGGGTATAAAAGAAAAGAGCATCTTTGTTCTAGTTCCCTTAGCATACATAATACTTTTCTATGCAGTGCTTTATTGAAACAAATAGGACACCTTAGAATAGAGTGCCTTTTTGTGGGAAGTAGTTCCAATTCATGCAGATAAATAAGAGCTGCAGCCCTATAGCTCAAATTTAAAGAGGCAAAGGGACATCATTGGGGAGGAGATCAACACTGGAAAGCTGTAATAGTTATTAATACTAATGGGAATTATATGCATAAATCTTCCATCCATGCAGGAGAGAGTCATTAGAGTCCAAGAGTGAGAGCCTTGAACTTACCCCTGAGCTAAGAAATATGCTTACATCGCTAATAAAATTCTAAAGGTACAATGAAGTAAAACAAAAAGTCAAAAGACTTTGACTGCCAATCCTAACTAGGGAAAAAGTTACACTTTAAACACAGAGTTAGTATGTTGCTGGTGGGCTTTTAGATTTTATTAAAAATTCAGTGTTTTGCTGGTAGTGATAAAAATAAAGCCTTTCCTTCTATATACTTACTTTAAGATAAAAGTGGATTATATGGAAAACAGAAATAGATATACTGGGTTGTATCCAACAGAAACCCTGTTTTCCATTTTGCTCAAGTGTCAGATCCAAATCTTTGATTCCACTCTTGGAAGACACTGCATTAATTATGCTAGGCGTCATTTGCACCAGTTGTTCTGCCAGTGGTTGGCCAACTGCTAGTGGAACAATGCCCACTTTTCAGATTTTCCCAACAGTATATCAGTAGATATAACCCTGTTTATTCCTGGTAATTAAGGAAAGCAGAAAACTCACTAGATGTCACAAAGGCAGGCCTAGCAGTGTACCAGGTGATGCAAGGGGTTTCCTTTTCCTCATTTGATGGAGGCCAGGTGTTATCTTCAAATGATGTTCGCCCACAAGAACAGCTCCCAGGCAGGATTTCACCACAATACTGCACCTGATTGAAATAAATGTTGCAACATGGCTTACCTCAAAATTATCATCCTTAGATAAGTATCTTATTAAAGGAGGATGTTATTATTTAGGGTAAGATCAAGGTATGGAGGCAAGAACATGTTTGTAAGGGACCAGAATTGAGTCCCTTGACAATCAATGGACCTTGCAAACATACAACTGGATTGCAAAGTAAGTGAACAGCATAATGTAATGATTTCATTTACTTAGTACAATTAACAGAGAATCAGTATATTGATAAAACAATGCAAATCAATACTACACATGGGAACATTCATCATGTTCATAGTAGTGGAGAAAACAAAGTGACATAAATGTGGCCTTAAACATTCAACAATGCCAATCTATTTCATTCAACACAAAAGTACAAAAATATTTTCTGAACCAGCCGAACAAAACAAGAACCTGCCACTATCTGCTGCCCTCTTCTGGTGTGGATCAGGCATTTTTCACAGGCAGGAAAGTGTGACTGTTGTATGATCATCATCCTTCCCATAGGCACAACATAATGAGTCATCATATGGATTCAATGACATCCATAGTATGGGTGGGCAAAAGTAGATTGTGGTCCAAAGATCACCAGCCAATTTCTAAGGGCTACATAGTGTGTACCAGATACCGTTTTCCCCCCAAAGTATGGTAGACTTGATAAATCTACATTTGTTTGATTCAGAAAGACAGCAGATCAGACATTGCACATTGTCACAACTTGTGCTTGCTTACACCTTACATACAGAAATAGGACAAATAGGGCAACCTTAGGCATACTATCTGGATTTGAGACTAAAAGATCAAGGAAAGTGTGAAAATATGGAAGGTAAATTGTAAGCAAGCACAATCTGTGCCCTTTTCAGGTAAGGCAACCAGAACTGTACTCAATATTCTAAGTCACCAAAGATCTGCATAAGAGTGTATGATCTTGGCAGATTTATGTTCTGTTCCTTCCTAATTATGCCTAACACAGAGCCTGTCTTCTTCACAGCAGCTGCTGTGCACTGGATTGACATTTTAATCAAGCTGTCCAGCACAACCCCAAGATTCCATTTTTGCTGAGTCAGATCACATCAGTCTACACTTGAAGTTGGGGGTTTTGCCTTAACACACATTACTTTACATTGAACTACATACATCTGCCATTCTGATGTCCATTCTCCAAGCTTGGAGATATTCCTTTAGAGCTCATCACAGTATCTTTTAATCACCCTAAATAGTTTGACATCATTAGCAAACTTGACCACTTTGGTACTCACCCCTAATTCCAAATCATTTATGAATGGTTTGAAAAGCTTTGGCCCTAATACAGAACACTCTGAGACCCCCATTGTTTACATCCCTCCATTGAGAGAGATTACTATTTATTCCCACTTTCTGCTTTCTGTTCTTCAATCAATTATTGATCCATAAAATGACTAACCCCCCAATCCCCAATATGCATGGATTCCATGAATGCTAAGTTTGCTCAGGAGTCTTTGGTGAAGGACTTTGTCAAGCCTTTTAGAAGTCCAGGTAAACAACTAGCCACAGTAGGTTGTCATGTCATTTAAATCCAGACCACTTCTTGTATGGTACCTTATTTTTTGGTAACAAGCCATCCTGACAACCATGTTCGTTCTAGTAGTTGTTTAACACTTGGGTTGCCGAGGTTGGCTAGCAAGGCACTTGGAAAGAGCAACAAAAACACTTGCCACTCTTAGCATCTTCCTCATGGCTCAGCCAATGAAAATTATTCCAACCAGTGGCCCAGTGACACTCACTGGTTCACCACTATTTCCACATTTTCAAACTCAGGAAATTGTATGATTGTATTTGTAATTTTTTGTTATTATTGTTATCAGACTTTTACCAGTGTGGCTATCGAATTTGTACAGTCCTTCCAATTTCCCTGTCTGTTTCAGCTCTCAAAGAGGGGAGCACAGCAGAGTAGGTAACAAATTGTCAAGGTAAGACTATACAGGCTAATTTGAACAAAGCTGCCGAGCTTTGTTCAAAGTAAAAAGCAATGGTATGGTGGGAAAAGCAATGGTAAGATGGGAAAAGCAGAAAACCTAGGTACGGCAAAGGAGGAACATTATCATACCCTTAGCAATGCAATGTTCTCAGTTTTAAGCATTGCAGTGACACTTCTGAGCTCTATCCATTTTATTAATAGTTCTGCAAGAATCCAACTGCATCGGGAAGGGGAGATGTTAATTCTCCTTCCCTTTTCACAGCTCTCTTTCTGAGTACTTTTTATAAGCTCCAGAATTTTCAAACTGATAACCTCAGATCTTTTTGTTGTTGCCACTCAGTTTATCTAACTCCTATCCCCATTTACTGAACATAAGAAGAGCCATGCCGAATCAGATCAAAAACCCCTGTAGTCTAACACTCTGGAAAGACCACAAGTAGGTCAGCAGGGTAACAAAACCCTCCACTTGCATTCCCAGTAACTGTAACATGGAGAGTTACTGTAGTTGATTCTGAAGTTAATATATAACATATATAACTATTTATGACCAACAGACATTCATAACCTTATCCTCCATTCTCCTTATCTAATCCCCTTTTAAAGCTATCCAAGCTGGTGGTTGTCATAAAATCCTGTGGCAGTGAATCCCACAGTTTAACCATGTACTATGAGAAGAAATACTTCCTTTTATCTGCCCTGAATCATCCACCAATAAGTTTCATCGGATGTCCTCTGGATCTCCTATTATGAGAGAGAAAAAAACGTCTCCCTATCTGTTTTCTTCATGCTGTGTATAATTTTGCACAGCTTTGTCATGTCTCCCCTCACTCAATCATTTTTCTAAGCTAAACAGCTGCTGGAAAAACAATACCTTTAAAACAATCATTGTTTATATATTGAGCAGCTTGCTCCCTGTTAACCACAATTAAGGAACAAAGAGCCAGTTTCATGCACATTCAAGTCTCTCTCTGAATCCCTTCCGATTTCTGGATTGTATCATCCCAGCCACCCAAATTTAACTACAACTCAGGTCAATCCTGTCTCTGACTTGAGCTGTAGTTAACACTAACTTATACCTCTAACCAATCCTAAGTTAAGGTAAATCCTGGTCTGAATTAATGGTGGTATCTAATAGTGGCTAAGGTTGGTGCTAGAACTTTAAGCACAACTGAAGGGGAAAATTTATTGCACCAGAATGGGGCAGACTGGTTGTGAAAGATATCTAACAAGAACAAGAACTAGAACACGAGATTTGACTGTCCCACCAATACCCACACCCCCCTTTTTTTTGCCTAAATCCTATTCCTGCCTATTTGGTATAGCCTTACCTTTGACTCATGATACTGTTATAATTCTCTGAGAACCTTAGGAAATCTAAGTTAGTAGAGGAAATTTAAGTGAGTGTTGATGAAAAGCATGTGACAAAAGTCAGATTCTCAGAGAAAGAGCTAATCAGAGTAGGAAGAAATTAATAATTAATGTGATGATGCCAGTTGTTTAATCGGTTTCAATAACAACTATTGAACAACTATCTCTCTAATTCTTCCATCTGCATGAAGCTATCAGTTCATGTTCCAGCTGACACCAGTGCTGTCTGGAATTTGCTCTCTGAAACCCTCATTACCCTTCTTACATGTCACACGGAAAACATTTTTCGATATAGAAGAGTTCCACAGGTAAGCAACTGTAGCTTTCTTGGTCTAAATTAATTTAACAGATGAGAACTAATGCTGAAAGACAGTAATTTGTCTAAGATTCCACACTTGATCTTTAAGTGATTATAGTGCAAATCTCTCACCCATGGGTCATACTGTCTTTCCAAACAAATAACCTTATTTTAAAGAAAGTCTTTATCAGATTTCTACTAAAACTTATAGAAGTTTAATAATTTCATCATAAAAAACTAAAAAAGAGAAAGGGGGATGGATTGTGCCTTAGTGACAGCCGCATTTGGGAGAAGTTGCCATGCTTCCTTTATAAAAATTAGACACTAAATTACTTCAACAGTATAGGAGATCAATCAGTGTACCACTTCCATCAGTGAAAATCTCTTGAAGAGCTTTAGGCCTGGAACTCTTAATCACCTTAGGCACATCTGTCCCGGCATAGGTAGAACTGTCTGTATACTCATTGTTTGCAGCCCGAGAACAAAGTCAATTTATCTTCGTCCTTAGAGGCTGTCACACAAAGCAGGTTGTGCACAGGAAAAACCTACTTTCTTCAAATAAAACCTTTGTGTGTTTGTCTGCATAGGACCAAGTAAAAATTTCTTGGCAACACTTTATTAGATTCCTACTTCAGGGCTTGCATCATTCTACAAAATGCTTATATTCCTATTAGAAGGATTTTCTCATGAAGATGTATAGATGAAAACTATGATTTGACAATCAGTTTTCTCCTTGCTAATCTAGGAATACAGTTATATCTTGCAATGTCCCTCTTAATTTCCATAACCATTTTCCCATAACAGAAATTAATAAAAATATGGAGAGTTTTCTTATATTGTCACCCTTTTTTTAACAGTAGTCAAAAATATGGTTGTATGCACATTCAGGATTGGGCCCTGTAAACTTCTTGGAATAAAGAACCTGATTTTGCTACATGCCTCAAGTTTCATGTACACCTTAAAAAGAACAACCATAATTAGCAGCTTCAGTGTCTAGCTTGTCAGAGATCTTCATTTCCTCGGCAAAGAAGGCTTGTTGTTACAAAAATCTGAAACTGACAGCATTTCTCCCACTGAGCAGTTCTCAGAATAGAACAGAGCTTGAAACTCTGAAGTTGGAAGAAAAAGGCTCTGATAATCTCTTTGCCACTTGTTTTCTGCCTTGATCACCTTTCCTGTTAAAACAACATTTTGAGGGAGACCACATGCAGCTTTTTACACTGTGAATAGACACTTGAGATAGATATTACTTGGATGGGGAATCAAGAAATGAACATATAAGAGGTTTTTTCCTCTTTCAAAAAATGGAAGGAAGGCAGAAATGGTGGAGGAGTGAAGAGGAACTATAGGATGCATGAAACTTAATTTC